GTGTGTGTGTGTGTGTGTGTGTGTGTGTGTGTGTGTGTAACCCAGGAATAGGGCTTGGGTTGGGACAGCACTTAAAGCTTAGCACCATTCCAGCTAAACACCTGTCACACACAAATGCACACACACACACACAATCACACACACACACCTGTCTGACGCATACCATAGACTGTGTCTGTCTGTCTCACTGTCTGTCTGTGTGCTTGCCTGTCTCACACTCACTCACTCACACACACTCACACACACACACACACTCACTCACTCACTCACACACTCACACACTCACACACTCACACACACACACACACACACACACACACACACACACACACACACACACACACACACACACACTTGAACATACTGTGACATGCTCAGAAATGTTGACACTTGTGTCTGCAAGGTCACATTTCTATATTCTCTCACATGTGTTACACTTGTTTCTCTGAATGCACCCTGACGTCTGCCAAAGGCTTTCGAGGGGTCGAGGTTGTTTATGCTGCTTTACAATAAAAGCCACCACTCCAGTGCAAGTCAATTATACCTGCAGCTGGAGCGACTTTCATTATTTCTCATCACTTTGTGAAGAGCATGACATATTTTCATCATAAAAACTTTCTACAGAGATGAAGAGGAAAAACAAACAGTCTGTCACAGCCGGTCAATAAAAAACAAGCCAGTGGGTGATTATTGTCACTGAGCTCATCTGTCCTCCGCAACTTCCACATCTCTGAACTTCTTCGGAGTAAAGTCCATCACTCATCCATCATCCTGTCATCGTCACTGTTTCTCCAGCCCTGTGCACCCAGTCATTCCCAGCTTGTTCGCGCTCAGGCCCGTATATGGCGGGGCTATCCAAGGGGGGAGCCACAGGGTTAAATATACTCTGAAGCTCCAAGAATGCCAAACTCCTCCAACTAACCTGACAGTGAGAGATGCCCTGCAGGGCAGAGGGGCACACGATGGGCACATGCTTTGTCTCATTAGCATAAGCATTTTCTGACTGTTGTGACCTGAAGTCCGAACCATGAGGTGCATTCAGGAATCAGTTCTTTTCTATTTTCATTTACTGAGGAAACTGAGACAATTATGTGTTTCACAGACATGAACTCTGGGAAATGTCTGGAAGATTAAGTGTGGACATTTTTAAGAATTTGCTTTTCATGTAAGAAGAATGTGGAACCATTTGAAGCACTTCTTTTAAAGTCTTGCAAAGACACTGATCCAAACATGAAAAAACAGCTGTGAGTCGCATTATCATCACAACCATTTGACATCAGCTACGAGCAGGATCCAACCATCGCATCAGGTCCCTTACACACCTGGAATTAACATCTGTCCTGAGAGAACCGATCACAAATGGCCAGCGTTAAGTACACGTGTTCACCCTTGACATCAAAATGCATCACCTTTGGCCACTTGTGATCGGATCTCACTTCCCCGCTCTACATGCAAATTAACAGGTAAGTAATTTATGTTAGTTAAGACCAAATTATGTTATTTTGAGCCAGTCTGTGTTTACAGATCTGTCCCGTGTCACTATATGTGTGTCTCGGTGTGTCACCATGAGAGAGAGAGAGGAGTCAGGAGGGGCTGGATGAATCTGGTGCAGCTGCAGTGAAGAAAGATTTCACCAATCCACCTCAGACAGTGTGTGTGAGTTAGGGTGATATAGTTGCTCAATGATTTAGTACAACTCTAGAAGGAAGTTCCACAAATTTACTTTTCATTGGAAACAAAAAGTTTCCCCACCTCTGATAAAGTGCATTGAACTGATACACACAGAACAAAATGGAGTAAAGTAAAAACTTAAAAAAGAATCTTGTATGTCTGTAGATGAATGTTGGAAAAATAACAACTTAACTCCACAATATTTTGCACACACAGTGCAGCAGAGTGTTTGAGTGTGAGTATA